ATATTTATGATGATAAATTTAGTCATATAAATTTAAGGCCTACTGAGTTGCAGCTGAAGTCGTACACTGGACACCCATTGGATGTTTTGGGAGAGTTCAAAGCCGCAGTTTCGCACGAAGGAAAGGACTACCATCTACCTGTAGTGGTTGTAGGAATCACCGATCATCGACAGCCAGCACTGTTGGGACGTAATTGGCTACATCAGTTGAAGTTGGACTGGAACAGGATATTACAGGTTGGATCTGGAAATAATGCAGGCAAGTCTAGCCATAATGTTTCTACTTCTACCGCTTCTGTAGAAAATGACTTGAAAAGTAAATTTATGGATGTTTTTGAAGGGCAAATGGGTCTAATTAAAGGTATCACAACGGAGATTGCTGTAGATGAAGAGGCGACTCCAATTTTTTGTAAGGCTAGACCTGTTCCATATGCTTTAAGAGAATCAGTCGAGAAAGAACTTGATAATCTTGTTAAATCTGATGTTATTTATCCAGTCAAAGATAGCCAGTGGAGTACACCCTTGGTTTGTGTTTTAAAACCTGACGGAAAATCAGTGCCACTGTGTGGGGATTTCAAAGTAACCTTAAACCGAGTCTTGAAAAATTCGGAGCATTATCCACTCCCTACATCAGAAGATATTTTCACAAAACTTTCAGGTGGGAAAATATTTTCAAAAATTGATTTGACTTCAGCCTATTTGCAGTTAGGTGTAGGCGAAAAATCGCAACCATTCTTAACGGTAAACACCCACAAAGGTCTTTTCAGGTACAAAAGACTACCCTTTGGGATTACGAGTGCACCTTTTCAGTTCCAAGCGGTCATGGACCGGATCCTAAAAGGATTAAATAGTACATACTGTTTTCTGGATGATATTTTGATTGTAGGCCACAACATGCAAGATGCAGTAAACAAAACCGAAGCTCTTCTAGTGCGACTTAAAGAATTCGGTATCAAGGCTAACTACCAGAAAAGTGAGTTCCTTAAACCCAGTTTGAATTTCCTTGGACATAGGATTGATGAGTTCGGAATACACCCTACCGATAAACTAGTTAAAGCTATTTTGGATGCACCCGAACCTACCGATGTTACCCAGCTAAGAGCCTATCTAGGCCTATTGAATTTTTATGGGCGTTTTCTCCCTAACCTATCCACGGTGTTATACCCATTGCATCAGTTGCTTCATAAAGCCAAACCCTGGCAATGGAATTCAGAATGTTCAAAAGCTTTTAATGAGAGTAAACTGCTTTTAACTCAAAGTAATGTTTTGGTACCTTATGATCCAAAGTTGAAAATCCAAGTGACATGCGATGCAAGCCCTTATGGGATCGCCAGTGTTATGTCTCACACTATGCCGGACGGATCTGTCCGACCAGTTGCGTATGCTTCTCGAAGTCTTACAAAATCCGAAATGAACTATGCTCAGTTAGATAAAGAAGCCCTTGCTATCATATTCGGAGTAAAGAAATTTCACAAATATATTTTTGGTCGATCATTCACATTGATTACGGATCATGCCCCTTTAACAGCACTCCTAGGAGAGAAAAAGGGTATCCCAGTTCTTGCAGCTGCCCGCATGCAACGTTGGGCAATAATTTTGTCTGCGTATGACTACCACATCATATATCGAAAAGGTTCTGAAATTGTAGAAGCTGACGCTCTTTCACGTCTTCCTAAGAAACTCGACCCAAACTCTGAAGATATTTCAGTTATTCAGTTTTTTGCTCCATTTCCAGAACTACCTCTCACAGCAAAAGAAATAAGTCTTGCAACCCGAAGAGATCCGTTGTTTTCTAAAGTCTTAGATTTGACACTTCAAGGCTGGCCTACACATTTAGATAAGGATGAGCCATTAAGAGCTTTCTTTCTGAGAAAGAACGAACTTTCAGTTGAAAATGGTTGTATTCTTTGGGGAAATCGAGTCCTCATTCCTACTAAATTTCAAAAACACCTCTTAGACATGTTACATGAAGAACATCCTGGTGTTTGCAAAATGAAAGCTTTGGCCAGAAGTTTTGTGTGGTGGCCTAAAATTGATGACCAAATTGAAAATGTTGTTAACACTTGTGAGATTTGTCAAATGACCCGTAAATCTGCCCCTAAGCTGCCTCTACAGCCGTGGCAGTGGCCTTCAAAGAAATGGCAGCGTGTGCACCTAGATTTCGCTCAGAAGGATGGTGTTTATTTTCTGATACTAGTGGACAGTTTCTCTAAATGGGTCGAAGTATACCAAATGAATGGTACCAACGCCTCAAAAACTATTGAAAAATTACGTACATGCTTTGCCGCATATGGAGTTCCGGAGAACATCATCACAGACGGAGGACCGCCTTTTAGGTCAGAAGAATTTGAAAGTTTTTTGAGATTCAATGGAATAAATCACATTTTCTCCCCTCCATATCATCCGGCGAGTAACGGCCAAGCAGAGTCTATGGTGGGTACTTTTAAAACATCTCTCTTAAAGCAAGTACTCCAAGACAACCTCAAGGGCCAAAATCGGACTTTGCAGCACAAACTGGATTGTTTCATGTTCGCTTACCGAAACACACCTCACTCAATCACTGGTAGAACACCTTCGGAACTATTTTTGGGTTTTCAGCCTAGAACCAGATTCACTCTGCTAAAACCAGATTTCAAAAGCAACATGGAGAGCAAGCAACAGAAAATAAAAGAATCCAGTGACCAACATAGAGGAAAATGGAGGTCGTTCACACTAGGACAGGAAGTCTGGGTCAAAAGTATCCGTAACGAAGAAACAAGATGGATGCCGGGAGTTATTATCAAGTGTATCAGTCCTGTGACTTACATTGTTAGCGTAAGGGGACAGAAACGGTTTGTACATGCCGATCATTTGAAAGAGTTGGAAGGTGAATTGCCCATTATGAGAAGAGAAGAACCAGAAATCACTCCTCCACGACCCTTACCAGTGCTATCACCAAGCAAAAGTCTGGTCGAACCTCCTATACATGTTGATCAATCACAGAGTCCCACGAGATCACCACCACCTCGGAAATCTTTACCACCTCAGAAATCTCCATCACCTCGGAAATCTCCATTACCTAAAGGAAGTATAACTCACGAACAAGAACCCCTGCGGAGGTCCAAAAGGATGATAACGGCCCCGCAGAAACTTAATCTTTAGTAGACAAGAGAACAAGTTCGCAGCAAGATTAAGTTAATTTTATTTTACATTTGACAAACAATGAATTTTATGTTGAAATGAAGATGCTGCGAACATTTATAAAAGAAGAGTTATTTTATTTTATTTTCAAGAAGAGTTTAAGTTTTTTTTTAAAGGGGAAAGGAGTGTTGTATATTAAATCATGAATAATAATTATCAATACGAAGTCACTGCAAGTTATATTCAATGCTTAATGCTTACTAAGAAAGAAACAGGAATACATGCTAAAGCTCAAAGGTCAAAGGCTGAAGACCAAGAACTGGAGAGGATTGACTGCACTTCTGTATGAACTGTGAGTATAGCAAGAGAGTAAAATGTGCACTTGTTAGGGTTAATATTTTCCCCCTAAAAATATACAATAAACAGTATAAGAACCATTCATAGAAAAATCAAGTTGAGAAATTCTTACAAACAAAAATAACAAATAAAATATAGTCCTATGAGTATTCATCGGGAAAATAAATATAAAGCATAAAAACAGTAAAAAAACTATACATAACAAAAGATTTTTTATGTACATGATTTACAATCAAAATAAAAAATATGTGAGTTACCAAAGCAATACAAACTATTTTTGTAAATTTATAAAAACTAGATTTTGTATAATCTTACTAAATAAAACTAAGATGTCAATTTGGTTATCTCTTACAATAACTTTGTTCTCCCTCGGTATTAAAACTTATAATAGTAATACTGATCACATTATCTTGAAACTAATCATTGTTCGTTATATAAAATATTTTAACAAGCATACTATTTGAATTTGAGCATGGCAACAAAATTATCACCAGGACCTAAGAGAAAAACTTCACTATTGGGTGGCAAGGGATTATTTACTTCTTACCTAAATAAGGTACAATATTAGGTTACAAATTCGGACTAATATTTTTTCACCCATCCTTGGTATTAGATTAGGGTAAATTTTTTGATGTTCCAACTCCATTCAATGAAGTATGGTTTGTATTAGTGGTACAGTTACAAAATAAAGATAGTAATAAGTAGAATAAAATAGGAAATGTATTCTAAAAAAAATTTACATCAGTTTCTGATATAATAGTTCTAGTCACTAGGACAAAAACTTGTTTAAACTAATAGACTTACAAACTGCAAATATTTTTAATTTTTCAAATCATTTACTTTAAAAATACTTCTGAAATTAGTTCCATCTTGTATTTGCTACATTGAACAAACATGTGTTACTGAAATATGTGGTTATATATCTGTTTAGTTTATGAAAATAACTAAAATGAAAATGATTAGTGGGTGAAAAAATGTACACAGTCGGTAACCTAAAATTGTCAAGTAACATCAAGTACGTTAGACTCTAACTCAACAATTAATTACAATCAAAGTAATCCAACAATTAGTCACTTTCCACAAAAACAATAGTTTTCCACTCTTAACACAATCAATCAATTGTTCTAGTCTTAAACAGTCCTTATTAATAATTAATAGGCTGATGGATGTCTTGTCAGTGGACTAAAAAGTACCTCTTTTCACTGCTATGAATGTATTTTAAACAGCATGGATGTATTATTGCAATGTGTGAAAGAAAACCATCTTTAAATGGAAAAAAGGATTTCCTGAATATTAAAATCACTAACAATTACAGAATAAGTTTAAAATGTTAGATGCACCATATCAAATTAACCAGATAAAAGATAAAACAAAGTTTTGTTGACAAACTGTGAGTAACAAAAGATGACCAAATAGAGGTTAAAACATGGTGATGCAATAGCAATCTATATATTAATTTGAAACAGTTTTTCTTTGTTCCCACTAATTTGAAAGAATGGCTGGGCTTAAAAATCTTTTTAAATCTTTTTTTTTAAATTTAACATTTTAAAAAGTTTAATTTTTTTATATTTAAAATTCCATTCCAATGTTATTTTTATGGAGGAAACACAACTACATACAAATATGTACTAACTGCATGCCTGTTATAAAACATAATGTAAAATACCCGTTCATCCTACATATAGAGTTCAAACCACTGATAAAATCTAAGTGTTTGATTCAAATATTTGGTTTTTAATCTATAGCTAGCAATGGCTAGGTTTGTGCTATACAAGAACTCATGTATTGAAAGTATATGATTGTACCATAATATAATTCTGATTTGAATGTGTTAAGTGAAAAATAGATACAACATTTAGATTTTTGGAAAGCCTATCTTAAAATTAATACTTTTCATTTGCAGCCTTATACAAAACATAAATTAAAATGTGTTGTTAATGGAAGAGTAATAAAATATTATCCACTGTGACTAACCCAACCAAAAATATTTAGTCGTTGATCCAAAATACTAAAAGTACAGCTTTAACATAATTAACATTACTCACTATATGCTAAAGATTGCTGGAACTATCACATCTTTTGACTTATTATTGATTATATCAATGTGATGGAAGATATAACTTATCAAAGGAACAATAAGGTACAACTGGAATGAAGTCGTCGATTAAAATAAGACTGGAATATTGTGTTTATAAGAAACAATATTTTGTGCACTTACACTTATCAGTGAAAACACAAGATAAGATACAATAAAGAACACATACAATGAACACAATGAATTCAAAATTAGTTGAATACATGTTTTTTTCCATGTACATAAACATTATGTAATAATAGATGATCATATGGAATTTAGCTCCTAACCAAAACAAGGACACGTCATTATCACCTCCACTTGCCAACATTACATCTAATAACTAATCAAAAGATTGATAAATCATATCAATGAATCGATACAGGAATTACAGTACTTAGAATTTTGAGCTCACAGCGATTAGTGGATGTTTGTAAATGTTTTTTTTTATGTGGGAGCTACACAATTTTTTTTTTATTGGCACTGTCTAAAAAAATTACATATATTATTAAATGGAAGGCCATTCCTAATCACGGATTCACTATAATAAATCCCGTTTTGACTTTTGTTTTTTAAGAAGATTATTGGCCAAGGTGGTCTTTGAACCTGTAAGACTTGGAATGCCTGGCCAACACGAGACCTGGCTTAGTCACAAGCTGCAGTTTATCAGCATAAAATGACTTCTTTCGCGATCTAAAACACCTGAAAACTCCCCTTGAAAATTAACAAGAGATTCCACATTCGGATACTTAAACTTGTTTAAGTTTTAGGCAGAACTATTGATATACAATACTCTACAAGTTTCCCAATGTGGGATGTCAGCAAGTACATTTTTGACTAACCTAACCTAACTGAAGTTGGAGGAAGCACAGGCTAGTCGTCGTCGCTGGCTTCATCAGTCCTCAAGACGGGACTGCGATGTGAGATACTCGTGTTCCGCTGCCTGTAGAGTCAAACAAAACAACACAATGTACAACAAATAGTGAATACACAAATGAAGAGGATTGATTGTATTTGGTTATTCATCACTCACTAGGTTCTTCATCTCCTTCCTCTCCGTCATCAACTTCCGATTCCTCCGCCTTACTGTCCGAGCAGCATGAAAAATCACAACACTTTAGCTAATGAGTCAACACATGACTTGGGGGTTCTTGTAAATTCTGCTTTTAAAATGTACAAATAGGCACGACCAGACACAGTAACTCATGATAAGTAAATAGTAATATAACAAACAATTTTATCACTAGATTTATTGTAATTAGAACACTGAATAAACTGGAACTGTCAACTAGCAACAAGTAACAGATCAAATCATAACTATATGTAGGGCCTACAAAGAAATTAAAAACAAAATAAGTCAAAAAACTTTGGAATCAGAAATATTGCATGAAACTTGGGGAAGGAAGAAGGGTTAGTTAGTATTGTACTGTGAATACCACTATTATACCACTTATCAAGATCATTGTTAAATAAATCTTTTAAATATTATAACCTACATCCAGGTTTCTCCAAGCTCAACTCGAATCATTATAATGAATAATCTATGTACAACATGTATAGTCGAAGTATTCATTACCTAGTTTGAAGGTGTTTGACTTGAACTTCTAGAACCTGGACTTGTTCTTGAAGGACATCATTTGATCGTTGAAGCTTCCTGTAACAGTATCATGTGATAATAAAAAGTGTAATACTGGTTTAATTTACCTCTGTCAATATGGTCCTTGCGTAGTTTGTCACTACTGCAGTTTCGTGCTTGTGGAGCACATCTTCAGATGAAGATCACGAAAGTTAAAACATTTTCTTCATGTGAAGGTCGTCCAACTTTTGAAAAAACACCGAATACATATAACACACGAACAGTACAAAAAAACATTTACAAACTTGGCCAATACATTAAAGCGTAACCATAGACAAAAAGAATTAAATATAGACCGTCAGCTGTGCTGCGGTTACCATAGGTTCTGGCGCACACCGCTTGGAGCACCACCGTAGTTACAGAGTACGCGCTACGTAAACTGCAGCGGTGTGCGCCGGAACCTATGGTAAACATGGCAACCGCAGCACGGCTGACAGTCTATATTTAATTCTTTTTGTCTATGGCGTAACACACGAGGTCCGGCGCCGGTAGAAGGCAAGTCATGACTCACTTACTACTACTACTACTACTATGACTCACTAAATTACTGTTAATAGCATTGGTCATTGTTGAAATTCACATGTAGACATACACTCACACACGAAACATTTATGTTTGTAACATTTATGTTTTGTGTGTGAGTGTATGTCTACATGTGAATTTCTAATAATCTAAATGTGAATACATGGGAACGGTGTTTAACAAGGGGTTTTATGGGGTAAAAATGGGGTTTTCTAATTTTTTACCCTTAAAACACACAATTTATAAATTTTTCTCCAGACCTTTTTAAGTGTTTTGTACAATAATTGGTTACGGAGAAAATTCAAAAAATTGTTAATTTAAAATTCCTATGTTATTCTTATGGAGAATATTATAATATGTTGTAGTTGGCTTGTTTATGGATAAATTTTGATCAAAATTGGTATTTTCAAATTTCATAATTCATAGGCTACTAAGCTATTGATATTTTAATAAAAAACACACTTTATTAGTTTCCCTGTAGCAGCTAACCTAGGTACTCGTAAAACATAAATGTTAATTTAATAGATTAATAATTAAAAATCAATCCAGGCAAATGGAAATTCGCTAAGTCATCAGGTTTGCTGCAGCGGGGTATTATTATTTATTGTTGTTTTCTTCCACATGCCACTATTTCTGCTTTGCTGGTTTGTGGCATTCAATTTCCAATAGAATAAGCTGAGGCTCTAAAGAAATTGTAATAACATGTTGGAAATATCGTCTAAAATAACAAGTCGTCTTGTGGATCAAAAATTAAGTTAATTTAATAGTAAAACTGATAGAATGAAAAACTTAGATTTGTGTATACATCTTATTTCATCAAAATATAACAAACAACTAAACTCTGTTGCCAAGGAAACATCATATGTTCTTTTCTAACATATCTATTATGGACATTATAATATGAATAAATTACATCTTTAACACACCCCCGTAATGTCCATAATACATTTTAGAAAAATAAGTTTTAGTTAAGAGGTCACCATCCCAATGAAAGTTTTCATTTTAACATGTTTCAATGATGATAAGCCCTTTGTTAAAATATCAGCGGTTTGTTCTTCTGTTGGAATGTATCTGACAGTGATCTGTTTCCCAGAGACCAACTGTCAAACATAATGGTATCTCGTCTCAATATGTTTAGAGCGATCGTGGAACATTGGATTGTTCATAAGTTTAATCACACTTTGATTGTCCACATGTAGTATAGGAATAGACTTTTCTTCAATTGCGCCAATCTCTTTCACAAGACGAAGGGATTTACAGGTCTCGCTAGCGGCAACATATTCTGCTTCCATTGAAGATTGGGAAACACACCGTTGAAGCTTACTCTTCCAAATAGTCTCATCAAGATTGCCATTCAAAAATGCTGTTTTAACATCAAACTGTTTGATAGCAAGATTGTACTGAACTGAACAGCCTAACATAGTTCGCATCGTCTTAAACCGAGCTACAGGGCTGAAAGTGACACCATAATCAATACCAGGACGCTGAGTAAATCCTTTTGCGACCAAACGCGCCTTGTAACGAATGATCTCGTTCTCAGAATTTGTTTTCAGTGCAAATACCCAGCGATTATCGATGACTTTTCTTCCTTTTGGTTGATCAACCAAATCATAAGTTTTATTTTTTATTAATGAATTTATTTCTTCATCCATAGCGGATTTCCAATCGACGACATGCTCAGATCGAATTGCTTCGTCATAATTTTCCGGTACTTCGTTTGTAAGTATTGCAGAAGCTAAAAGCTCATTTTTATCTCTGTCACTGACACACATGACAGAATCATCTCTATATCTCATAGGTATTTTTATTCCATCACGTTTTCTCAGGTTATAAGTCTCCTCTTGTAATATATCACCTGGAATAGCGTTATCATCACAAGGACACAACATGTCTTGCTCATCAGTATCATTGGTTCCTGGATACACAATATCTTGCTCTTCTTCATGGAATATATTGTCCTGATTACTGTCAACAAGCTGATTTCTGGTCTCATTATTTAGAATTGATTGCCTACTGTCAAGGGGATCATGCTCGATATCATTGCTACTCTCGTCAATGTTAAAGTAGTGTTTATCATCGTTATTGTTTATTTTCTTCAAAATAAAACATGATTCTTTTGGTGGAATGACCTTAACAACCATATTATACAATTGATTAGCTGAATTAAATATAGCCAAAGCAATGATTGTTCCATTTTGAGAAAACACCCATGACTTACCATTGTTTTTCACAGTCTGGTGAATGCCTTTTTCACCTGCTTTCCTCACAGAGAATAAGTTACAAGCAACATCAGGACAGTACCAAACATCATCGAAATACCTGTAAGTCCACTGTTTACCATCAAAAACCATAACGTCTATTTTTCCTGACCCCAAGGCCTGAATATGAACACCTTGGCGAGCACTGTCCATCTTTTTAGGAGTATCAAATGGTTTGTAAGTGGCGAACCAGTCCCTGCGGTTTGTCACATGGTGAGAAGCACCACTGTCAACAAGCCAGTTGTCACATTCACTGAAAAATGACTTATCAATTAGGCCTACCTCTAGATTTGATCGAGTCATCATTGCAGCATTTTGTATCTCACGGGTACATTCATTTGATTTATGTCCTTTTGTGTGACACTTAAAACAAATTACACCTGTTCGACAGTTTTTAGATAGATGACCATTTTTGCCACATGAAAAACATTTTATCGCTCCTAATTTTTGCAAGTCTCCCTTTTTGGCATTTTTGGCTCCCATATATTTTGGCTGTTTAGAACTTACTTTTATTTTGGAAACCATGGCTACTGCTGCATCCATCTCGTCTCTGTCCTTTAGACGTAATTCAAAGTTGAGACATTTCTTCTGTAGAATGTCCCATGTCTTCACCTCCCTTGGTGAGTCGTGCCAAGTCACATATATGTGATCATATTCCTTTGGTAGAGTTTGAAGGAGTCGAGCACACAAATCGTCTTCATTAATAGGCTTACCGTATATTGTTAATTGGTTTTGGATTTCGTCAAACTTTTCCAGATGACCATTCATTCCAAGGGTAGGTTCCCAAGAAATGTTATGGAACTTATTTCTCAATATGTCAATATTTTCTGTTGACTTGACATCATAAATGTGGACAAGTTTCTCCCACATCTCTTTTCCTGTAGAGCAATTGCTTACTCTAAGTAGAGGATTCGTCTCAAGGGATAAAACAATATATTTTCTGGCTTTTGCATCATTTTTTGACCAATTTACCAATTTTTCGTCATAATTTGGTGTACCTGCTGTTGGTTTTCCGAATTCTCCACTAACAATTCCATAAACTCCTTCACATTCTAAGATTACCTTCATGACTATTTTCCATGTTGTGAAATTCTCAGTCCCTCTTAATTTTTCAATCTGTTTTTCATTACTCATCATTCACTATTCTATTAACTTCTTCTCAATTAATTTAACCACTCTGTTCTGCTACCATGTTGGAAATATCGTCTAAAATAACAAGTCGTCTTGTGGATCAAAAATTAAGTTAATTTAATAGTAAAACTGATAGAATGAAAAACTTAGATTTGTGTATACATCTTATTTCATCAAAATATAACAAACAACTAAACTCTGTTGCCAAGGAAACATCATATGTTCTTTTCTAACATATCTATTATGGACATTATAATATGAATAAATTACATCTTTAACATAACAAATGAGCCAAATACCCTAATTACCCTTATTAATTGTTATAGAAATTTTGTTTTGTGATAATATGGATTGGCTGTTGCTGCCACATATTACATGATATTAATTTATGTTGAGTGAATCTACCAATCATACTATTCTCAAACTTACCTGATATTGTTGGTTGCAGAGTCTATCTCGTCCTCTGCTACGGCCAGTTCTCTCTTCAGCTCCTCCACCCGAGAACGGAGCCTCTTCACCTCAGTCTCGTACTGTTCCGCGCGACGCACCGCGTGGGCCAGCTCTGTTGTCTTGTCTGCCACCATCTTCTTCAGCTTACTGTGCGAATGCTTCAGGTCACCCAATTCCTAAACCAATGAAAACTAGAAATAATTATCCATCTATAAAACTATGTCCATCTCACGTTATTGTGTGCTTGTTTAACACTACAGCAAACTATTTAGTAAGTGTTAAATAAATATAGTGATGTGTCGATACCAAAATTTATTGATTCTCGATACCGACACCAATGCCTGAAAAATTGATTCTCGGTTCTCAATTGGTACCAATTCCATTATTTTACAGTATTACCATATTTTCTTAATGGATTTGGATACCAACCCATGTCTTTCCATTACCCGTACAGTAAGTATTTCTGAGGTAATGGGGTGTTTTTCATGTAAAAAAGAATGTATGCAGAAATTAAACATTCTAACTAGCCAATTTATTTGTAAACCCTTCTAAACACATAAAAATGAAAAATTCTAAAAATACCATACTTAAGGTAAATGAAGATCTAAAAAAAAAAAAAAATCAAAAAGAAAATGTTATTATAGAGATGTGGGCGCCTGAAATTTGCAGTCTAGCTATACTCGAGGTAATATTGTCATCATCTCCAGCGATCGTGGAGATATCATTGTCTTTCGGGATCACTGCAAAATCCGAAATATCTTCCTCAATGAGGAAAAATTATAATCGTCTTTCACAGCTGCGGCAACTTCATGAACATCTCCCGCGCCTGTGTAGACATCATCATCGTCTTCCGCGATGGTAGCAAAATCATGAACATCTCCCGCGCCTGTGTAGACATCATCATCGTCATCCACGTTGGCGGCAAAATCATGAGCATTTCCCGCAGCCATTTATACATCATCATAAATGTAAAATAATGAACATCTACCAAAGCCTTGTAAACATATTCGTTGTCTTCCGTGATCCCGGAAAAATCATTAAACAATAAACATCCCCCGTGGCCAAGTAGACTTATCATTCACTTCTGAATTATGTGTGTGAAACATCATTGTAGGCGTCCGCAAGCGCAATAAAATCATGAATATCTTCCACAGTTATATAGACATAGACATATTTTATTTGCACATAACATTATTCACATGTGTTGTTACATACGGACAGAATAGGTGCTCTGTCAGATTTAAGTGATCAGAATATAAAAAAATTAAATAGTAATCAAGAAGATAATGTGAATTAACAAAATTAAATGATAAAACTATTCTAAACTAAAGGGGTATTATGAAAATCTACAATTGAATAAAAGACTCTGTTAATTAAAGTGTTCACCTATTTTATTTTTAAAATTATTTTTATTTAACAACTAGCTGACCCGGCGAACTTCGTATCGCCTAAGTTATAGGTTTCCCCTAAGACAGACCGATGGAAAGAAAGTACCGTTACGTTTAATTTTCAAGATGATCTCGTTCGCATCGCTCAATCACGTCCTGGTTGAAGTTCGTTCGCTACGCTCACTCACCTTTGGGTTGGAGCTCGTTCGCTACGCTCACTCACCTTTAGGTTGGAGCTCGTTCGCTGCGCTCACTTGCCTTCAGGTTAGCTCGTTCGCTACGCTAACTCGCCTCCAGGTTGAAGTTCGCTCGCTACGCTCACTCACCTTTTGGTTGCAAATTAGCTGTTGTCATAAATGTAAAAGAAATAATAGTGCTGCACCCTGTTGGTAATCCTTGGTTAATTGTTGGTAACTTTAATGCTATTGAACATCATAGAACAGAACCAACTTGTTTAATTGAAACAGCTGTTAAGATTCATTAATTCCATTTCTCATAAGGTTAACATGGGAAACTCCAGAGCCACTGGGGCGGAGCCCTTTTAAGAATTTCGAAACGGGAAATAGTTTACGTCCGATTCGCATACCTACAGAATTTACACACCAAATTTCATGACGATCGGTGAAGTCGTTCCGGAGGAGTTTGCAGACAAACACTGTGACACGAGAATTTTATATATTAGATTTATAGCTTGCAGGCAGCAAATTGTACAGCCTCAGCTAAGCATATAGCAGACTTTTTTCAAAGGGTTAAACGGTGCCTTGGAAATCTAAAAATGATTTCATTAGGAGTGTTATATCTATGGTTAATTTGAATGGTTTCTGGGAGGTCATTTATAGCTGAATGAATGTATGATAACAAGGTAAAATAATTCAACATTCATTGAACATTGAAAACTGGTAGAATACATGTTGAATCGTTACATAAATATTACATTAAATTAGTAATAAGTGCATTACCGTACCTACAACATTTTTGACCTAATATCATACATTAAAAAGGAAACAACAAGTGTGAAAACAAGATTAGCCTACTAAAACTGCAGAATAAGATGATAACATATACACATCACAGCTCAGCTGCAGGGGTTGCACTGATCGGGGTAGCCAAAAAACTCCTAGGAGAAATCACACATTTTTCCTGGATTTCCTGGTTGCCAAGGATCCCTGATATTTTTGGGCCCAGATTTTCTTTGGTACAACAAATTTAAATAAATAATTACTGGTTTTTCGGAAAACCTGGTCTGTGTCCACCTTGACTGGGACTTAGACGCAAGGGGTAGCAGAGAGGTAAACTGATATTAGGAGTCAACAAACTATGCATTGTTTTTAACAGAATGTGGTATGTGTGCAAGCAAACACATAGAAAAGTAGAAAGTACATAAAGGGAAAGTACACTCTATTGCATATACTTAAAAAGCCTGGCTTGTATCTTCTGGGTACAGTAGAGGATGAAAACATGTGTTGTCTTATAATGGGTGTGTTAATGAGTGAGGGTTGAAAAGACAACCAAAGATCAAATTATCAAAACTGTACTGTGCTGACCTTGCCCCTATCAGACACTTCCTGCTGTAGTTGTCGCAGTTCTGTGTCCGCAGTGGTTGTTGGACGTCCTCGTCTCTCCAGTCGCTCCTGGGCATCGCGCAGCTCACTTCGCAGCTTCTTGTTGTCCCGCTCCAAGTTGAGTTTCTCTGTTTCCAGTCGCTCACGTTTGCCCCACTCTGCTGCGTTTTCTGCCTGCAGCCTCTCCAGCTAAGCAAACCATTTTGAAATTAGGATTGATTTATTAAGTTTTGTTACAAACAAATGAACCGTTGACTGTGTACACTGCCAAAAGGTTATGGCAATGGCTTCGTGGCCTTATCTACATCAAAAATAGCGAGAATATGCTTGAAAACATGAAATCAACAGAAACAATAGAATCTAGAAATCAAATTTTCTGAGGACATTCCTTAAATGGCATAGTAAAGGATAATCTTTACAAAGCTGCCCTAGAGATTGAAATTGGGTCACCCTTAACTTAACAAAATGTTATTATAGCATATAATAGTAGGTCGCAAAAATGTCATATTTATAATGGAACTGACCAGAATGCATATTTACAAGTCAGTTAGTAATCCATACCTGGGCTCTCAAATCAGCTAATCGTCTGTCCATCCCCTCTCTACTGGTTGCCTCGTCCATAAGATCTGCTTGGATCAATGCCACAGTATCCTGGAATAATAGTTACGTTATTAAATAGTTATCAAGCTTTTTAACACCCAAATTATTTAAATATTTATCGAACTAGGTATTTAGAACTACACTACGAGTTAGGGATTTTAAAAGTCCTCAGTGTTAGCAGCCATAGCGACATAGCCTAAGTTAATTGTAAACTATCTTTGCAAACATAGTCACATTTGTGTGTATAGCATACCGTACTTCTTAACCCATTGGCGCAAAGTAATGTGTAACCCGTCACCACATTTCCTGGCGAGGTAGCCATATTGCTAACCCACTGGTGCTTAAGAAGTTTGTCGAATCCAACCCGCAAGCACTAGTGTCAAGGTGTGCTTTAATCTTCCATTAGACCGACGGTGGCAACGTAGCTCTGTTGGCTTAAGGCAGCATAGAAGTGTAGCATTGAAGTCTTTCAACATGCACGGGTTCGAATACTGTACAAGTTAAATGCAATCCATATTATCAAACATAACATATGTGGGGCTTAGCCGGAGGGAGAGCCCACCATTAATAAACAGTGTCTGGCTTGGGGGGAATATGAAGGCATTAGTGCATCTAAGGATTGCACTCTAGGCCTACACCTGATTTTATTCTTTTAGCGAATTTCCCATATAGGGAATAAGCTATTATCATAGGTCACATGGTAAGACCTGGACTGAATTACTTTTTTGTTTGATGTCTTCGGAAGTCAAAAACACCACCTGGTCAAAGTTATTTATATACAGGGTGGAACGAAGTTAGTGTTAAAAAATTTTATGTGTTAAACTACTAAGTATTGGTGACAAAATGGCACCAATTTAAGTTTCCATACCCTCACAGGTAGGGAATAACAAACAATTTAAAAAATTTTCAAAATATTTGTACTTACTTACATAAAATGGCAATAAGTGCATTAAACATTGTTTTTATTCCAAATTAATTGTCATTTTCAGAATCCTCGTTAAATTTCCAATAGTAATAGTACAAATTCATTGAGATTAAACATCTGCATAAGCCCTTATTTGGCCATAGAAGTTTGAATTTGTGATTTTTTATAAAAAAGTAATAACTTTTTCCAAAGTTTTTCTATACTACACTGGACTATTAGAGAGTGTCAAATATTACTAAAAACTTCTGCAGTTAATAACCTTTAAAATGATGTATAAACATCTACTTTTCCTTTGATTTGTCGTTCTCAAATTTAAGAGTTTCTCATGAAAAACACGGAACGGCTAATGTTTAATTTCCTGTAAAAAACATGTATTGGCTTTAATGATATGGCAGCAGCTGCTTTAAAAATCATGTTTAAATGGGTATCATTGCAATTTTCAGAATCCTTGTAAAATTCCTAATAAGAATATTGAGGAATTGTTAGGATTAACACTTTATGAACCTATGTTTTGTGATGAATTTTCATTTAGGGGGTTTTCTTCTTATTTATTGGAATAAATTAAACATCGTTTACGGTGTTAGTTCTATGGCACATTCAACCGATGTGCGAGATTGACTTAAAGCAAAATACACAACTTGAATGATAAGAATGATAATGATGGTTCATAGGTGTGGTTTGCTGGCATGCCAGGTCGTCAGACCTAAGCCCACTGGACTTGTTTTGTGTGGCTGGAGTACTTGGTCTACTCATCTTTAGTGGAAGATAATCAGGAAATTAGCTACTGGATAATGAATGCAAATGTGCTAGTCAGAGGAACGTTGTATTTTAATGTTATTGTTGGTGCCACGTGCAAAAAAAGCTTGACTGTGTATCTGGGAAAATGGAGATTTTAAAAAAAAACCCAAGTAGTTGGCATCAAATAGAAGGCAACTATTAAACAACAAGGAAGTAAGGAACAGTTATTTAAGTTTCGAATATTGTGTGTTTTAGAATTAACTTTTAGTTTTTGTATAAATAGCTAAAACTAAGTATTTTTGAGGTGTTAACAATTATTTTAGTTAAGAAATATATCACTTGACTGAGTTATTTCCATTAGCATGTGTCTAAGCACTACAATAAATTAATTGGTATACTTTAATTAGGTTAATTTTCGGTTTTCGGTGAACATATTGACAACATTGCAAATTGTAGTATCTACATAATTTTAGAAGTTACTCCATTGGAAGTATTTGCTTATGCTTAAAAAAAATTCTTAAGTTAAATGTACCATGTGTACCTTTAAACAATATTCAATGTATTCAAAAAATAAAAAATAAACTAATTTAACATGTTTTCACAAAACATATGTTTATATGGATGTTAATACTAATAGATCTTTAATATCTTACAATAAATCTCACAAGGATTCTAAAAATTACAATAAACCCTATTCAAATATAACTGTTATTGCAGCTATTGCCATATTATTTAAGCAAATACATGTTATTTTAAGGGAAATTAAACATTAGCCGTTCCGTGTTTTTCATGAGAAACTCTTAAATTTGAGAACGACAAATCAAAGGAACAGTAGATGTTTGTACATAGTTTTAAAGGTTATTAACTGCAGAAGTTTTTAATAATATTTGGCACTCTCTACAGTCCAGTGTAGTATAGAAAAACGTTGGAAAAGGTTATTACTTTTTTATAAAAAATCCAAAATTCAAACTTTCATGGCCAAATAAGGGGTTATGCAGATGTTTAATCTCAATGCATTTGTACTATTACTATTGGAAATTTAACGAGGATTCTAAAAATGACAATGAATTTGGAATAAAAACAATGTTTAATGCACTTATGGCCATTTTATGTAAGTAAGTACAAATATTTTGAAAAAATCTTAAATTTTCTGTTATTATCTACCTGTGAGGGTATGGAAACTTAAATTGGTGCCATTTTGTCACCAATACTTAGTAGTTTAACACATAAAATTTTTTAACACTAACTTCGTTCCACCCTGTATATGTGTCTGTAAGCACGATAACTCAAGCAAAAATCATCAGTTTTTTATCAAATTTAGTACAGTTGTGGAAACCCACATTTAACTTATTCTATCGGAACAGGGTTTTGTGGGGGGTTTTATGTTAATAGTCAGTTATTGTACATACCCTTGGTCAACTTATTAACAGTGTATATACCTTGTGTGTATGTAGCTTGTGTGCATAGCTATTTTTGTCAATTTAACAACACCCGTCTCTCAAAGACTAGGATTTGAAAACCTACCTTAACTTAAGAATATCAGTCTATAGGTATTTAACTACTATTTACTAACATCGAACATTCTTAACACGTTGACTGCGCGTGCCGACTGGCGACTATACAGGCGCTCCCCAGTGGCGCGCGAAGCCCCGGCGCGCAACCGAATCAGCGAACGCAATTGGCATTCAAATATTTCAATCTGACGAATCACAAAAGAGTATTGGTGACTGTGCTGCGTTACCCCGCAAATAGTTGTAGTTCACTGAAACACCCAAAGGTAGCAGCACTGCACGGATCCATATCCAGTGCCTTTGTAATGTGGGTTGAAGAGAAAAAATCCCTGAAACCGGGACAAAAGCATTGCCAGACAGGATTTTACGGGAAATTTTAGTACCAACCTACACCAAAGTAAAGTTCGCATTCTAAGCTGGCAGGCCGGCAACGATTATAACGTCTCCGTCTGAGGCTAAGCTCACACTGACTCAATATATTTCTGTTGGTCTGGTGCCGACTTTTGTCGGCGCGCGCCACCTGGGAGCGCTGGCGACGCCGACTGACACCGACTAAAGTCGGCATGCGCAGTCAACGTGTTACAGTAACTATATTTATGTCTGTGCCCTCCACCTTGCCTCATTCCTCAAATTGCTCATTTCACTAATTTAGCCTCAGAATAGTTGCCGGTACTTTACAATTACCGGTAATATTAAATTATTTGTTTTGAAGATTTTCTTAATATTATGAATATTATTGTTTTCCAACAAATACGTAAGTCACTGATAGCGACTGAGCCTACGCACAGGCTTCCAGCCCATGTAGGCTTATTTCCTTAATGTATATATTTAACATAGCTTCCCTGAAACCTTTCCAACCTTTGTTATTATTATTAAGTTTACGTGTATTTTTATATTAATTATTTTATCTATGCAATAGCAAGTAAGGTGTCTGTTTCACTGGAAGTTTATGTTTATATTTTATTCTGCAATATTTTTGGAAATAAAGTATATTTTGATTTGATTTGATTTGATTTGTCAACTGCTTGTGCAGGTAACCAGTCAGTTTGTGTTCATGGTTAGTTGACAGGTAAACTACAATTGTACCTGATGCTGGTCCTGTAGTTGCAGCAGTTCTCTAACAGCCTCTTGTCTAGACACTCTCAGGTCCTCACACTTCTCCTTGCTCTCTGCCAGTTCCATTTCTAATCTCTCTAGGTTGCGGTGAAGTGCCAGCTTCTCCCTACACAGACAAGTATTGCATTGTGCTTCAAAACACACACAGGTTGTAGGAAACAACAGCAACTCAAACGCTCTTAGGTCAAGAGATACAAACCCATGTTTTGTCGATGTGCCAGAAATCAAGCTCGTTCCTCCCGCACCAAAGACCGAGACGCTAACTACTAGGCTAGCAACACACCCAACATACAATTTACGTACCTCAAGTCTTAAATACCATTGGGTACCATCTCAGATAATGCTAATAGTTGTTTGCGATTTTGGCAACGTAGTTCGGGCCGCTAACGCTTGGGTAGCGGTAATCTGTCGGTAGTGCAGTGTGCCTCTGAGGACCTTTTAATCATTTAATATTATCAATTAATTATAAAACAACAAAACTACAAACAAAAAAACAAATTTCATCCACAGAAATGACATTTTACAACCTACAATGAAAGCAATAATAAAAAACAACCAAACTGCCTTACCGACAGGCCCAAGGTGGAGTAGTTCGGGCAGCTGACGCTACTCTTTAACAGCGCTGAATAGGTAACGATAACTTCCATTGGGTGGCTACTATAGTACCTGTATACTCAATGGTATTACATAGCCTACCTATAGGAAACGAACGGTTTACTAAACACTAAGCAGAGCCCAAGATTGGTTATAACTCACTTTGGCAACTACACTACCATATAGCTAAGTTAGCTGACTCCGGTCAAACTGTTGTCATACTACACAATAGTACGTAAACATTCAAACCCACTAAGAAGGAATTTCCTGGAATTAGACTCCCTCTTATACCAATACCTTTTAACCGGACATCGGTTTAACAGGACTACACTAGGCGGAAATCACATCTCTTTAACTGGACAATTTTTATCAGCACAATAGTTTAACCAGACTAGATTGTCAGGAAGTGGGCGGGACTGAAACGACTGTTCTCATGGGAAAGATTTGAGACCAGTGATCATGTGTCTAAATAGTACAATGCTCTCCTAAAATACTGTATACAGTATCTATTTAAACGGTCTGTTTTAACAAGTTTTTGGAGACATCGGTTTAACCGGAAAACCCGTTACCAGTATCCAGACTGGCCTCAGTCCCGAGGAGTCGTTTGTGGTGTTGTCAAGGGTGCACGTTTTCAGTGAAAACTATGTAGGCTATGTGTAAAAAAACAAAGCCATTCACCAACACAAACACCGGATATGACCATGACATCACTACACACAGTGTTTAAAGAGATCCTGTAAACATGTAAAAATGTAAATAACTTAACATTATCTTTATAAAAGTTAATGATCTAAAATGTAAACCCACATCTATTTCTGAGTACCCATACCTAAATCAAAGATAAACTAAGTTACGCAGTATTAACCAATAATACGTGAACTTCAATTAAGTGGGATTTGAGGAGGATGCAGTGCGAATGCTTTGCACAGGTCGGCTAATAAAACATTATAACAACTTACTCTCGTTCAACTTGGAGTGTTTTGGTCGCCTCGTCCAGTCTCAATTGCAGCATTGACAATTTCTGCCGCATTTCCTCCTCGTCAGGAGATGACACAAAAGCATCTTTCTTGCAAGTACGCTTCATCAAGCTCTCAGCGTCTGTACCAATTGTGCTCAACGTGTCGTGGTCTCCCACGGTATTAGAGTCACAGTCTATATCCCTCTCTAACAGAGAGTCCTTGCCATCATACAGCTCTACTGCATGCTTTGGAACAGCTCCCTGCAGCACGTATTCTTCGATGCCTGAATCTTTTTCCGCCGAAGTTCTGTCGTCTTCACCAGTGGTAGTATTCTCATTGGCGTGGTCATCTGTCGAGATATCTTTCTCCGAATCAACACTTTCCAGAGCTTCGAGGAGCTTATGGTCCCATTGCCCCGCATGTTTGAGCAAAAGAAGATGTATTTTTTCCAATTCCTTTCTCATTTGTTCGTTCTGGGCTTCAAGTTCCTGTCTTTCTCTTTTGTAAGTGTTAATATCTTTGAGTGATGCATCCAACTTTGACCTAAGCATTTTTGCTTCTTCGCGTGCTTTATTTCTTTCATTTCGTACCTGAAACAAACACTAAAGTAAAGTCTATGCAAAATTGAAACTAATTTCTGTTAGTTATGTCAATTAGTGCCAACTGACCAAAGGCATAGTTAATGTACTGCACAATGGCTTAATCTTGGTGAGATTGGAATTACAGATTACTGATTGCAAGTTATTATAATGTAAAATAAAAGTCAACAAGAGGTTGATGTGGAAAGACGAAAACAGCAGATGATGTATTGTATCAATATCAATATAAAGTGTTAACTCTTAAGAATGAGTCTCTTAAGAAAACAAATAGAAACCTAGGCCTATACGTTATTTTAACTCCGAAGCTACCTTAGCTACCTAAGATACCGAAGCTTTCTTAGTCGAATTAAATTGTAGGTAATTGTTGTATGCTGTTTGAGGAAAAATTTAAGACCTTGCTCCATTTCTCGCGCCAGTTAGCTGTACAATCGGACCACCATCGCATTGTCTTTTCCATCTGAGCTGCCCGAGCACGAGCTTCCTCCAATTCCCGTTGACGCAGGGCTTCTTTGGCCTCCCACTCTGTATCCCCTCCAACATAGCGTCCCATCACAGCTGCCCGTGATGATGTGCTACTACCTGACGTTCCATGCGCCATTATTCCTATTAAAATCAAACATTTTTATTAAACTCTAAAAATAGGCCTAAGCCTAAACTGGAAACACTCAGCTATCAATAACTTACCCATCCCTAAAAATTCCAAGAACTAAAACTTATTTATCGCTGCACAAACTTGCTGTTAGCAAATTTCCCATATGGAATAATAAGTTATTACCGTAGGTCTCATGGTAAGACCTGGACCCATAATCGATTTCCTTTTTGGTTTTGAGGTCCCCAGAGGCACAGAAAACGTACTACTATAACCCAGAATGCCAACCGCATGGTAAAAAGCATTAAGTGTTTTGAGAGAGCTTTGCCTGTCAATCCGTAGGCAGCGCCACCAGCGTTGCTATGCTATTGCATGGCAACACTGGTGGCGCTGCCTACGGATTGACAGGCAAAGCTCTCTCAAACCGCTTAATGCTTTTTACCATGCGGTTGGCATTCTGGGTTATAGTAGTACGTTTTCTGTGCCAGAGGCCAAAAACATCATCCTTTCAACAACCGAGTTGTTGATTTTATGTCCCCTTCAGACTGTTTTTGCACTAAGTTATTGAAATAAACTTAGGCTAGTGGGTTAGTCATAGTAAATGATTATTTCAAAAAAGCTTGCATTAAGTTATAACCTAAACTTTAACTTACCTAAAGGACTTAACTTACCTATCCTTCAAAGGACATCAATTCAAAGGAGTCGTGAATTCTCATAAAACCTGGCCTACCTTTCTCTACCTTCTCACCTTTCTACCTTTCTCACATGTCTTTTCCGCTATATAAAAACAAATTTTAAGCTGTTCGAGAAGTTTGATTGGGTTAGGTTTAAGAACAGTGTCAACCATTTTATCAAAGAGGTTTTGTCATATATTGACTTAAACATAGCTTATTGGCTAGTCTATGCCAATAAGTTAAACACTATTGTCATAATGAGACATATGGGGTGCCTAGGCCTACATGGTGAAAACAAAAGCTAAGCCACTCGGTAAAGTGAAGAGAAGAAGAACCAAGCAAAGTATAGGCCTATTCCTTCTTTTAATTTCATAATCCAGTCTAGATTAATAAATATGTCTGATCAAGAGACATTAGATCAAGAGACAAGAGTTAAATTAATCTTAATTTTAATCAAATATTTCAAATAGGCTAATTAAGTTACTTAAATTAAAGTAGCCTATTTAAGTTACCTTGTGGGTTGCGTTAATTGTGGATTGTGAGTGTAGGCCTAATATTTACTTCAAATTAATTAAAATAAGTTGGGTCATTCCATATGAAATCAACCAATTAAAAATTATTTTCAACCTGACCATCTTTGATTTTGATGGAATTTTGCAATTACTAGTAGTATTTTGAGTCCTGAATCCAAGTATGTTTTTTTAAATCTATCATTTATAGTTTTTACGATATAAATATTTCAAAATGGTAAAAATTGGCGTTTTTTACTCTGCGCGCAAATCTAAAATATTGTCTAGGATGAGTTCTATTGGTCCTATCAAGTTGTACAATGGCTTATTTAAAGAGGATTCAAATGCCTTTAATCTGATACCAAACTTCATACTACTTTGGTAATTTTTTTTATTTTTCTTAATTTCAAAATATGTTTTTGAAAAAAAATTTAAGATAGTGTTTTTTGAAAAATTTTAAAATTAGGTACATAGGCCTATGTTAAAGAATGTAATCTAGTAAATACACAATAAAAAAATTTCAAAGTGGGATGATAATGGGATCAGCATTTATGATAAAAATACTTTTCTATGGTTCACTGTTTCCAAGCATTTTGGCGCATACTATATTAGGCCTAAGTACTAACGTAAATGTATCATTAAATAAGAGTCAATTCATATTCATATTCATATTCTTTATTCATATTTTTTTGTACAAGGGTGGTACAATGAATAGCGTCAATAAAAAGAAATACAATTACAATGATATTAGTAAATATTAACAAGTAAAATAATAACAACAAGTCTTTAGTTAGTTAAGAATGAAATACAAAATTAAAATAACTTAATGCTACCTATGCCAGCAATTAATTATATGGTTAAAATTAAATAGATCTGCCTATATTTGAATGATGTATGTCATATTTTGCTATAATATAAACTAAATCTAGCAAGTAAACAACATTATTCAAGCACAGAAAACGTACTACTATAACCCAGAATGCCAACCACATGGTAAAAAGCATTAAGCGTTTTGAGAGAGCTTTGCCTGTCAATCCGTAGGCAGCGCCACCAGCGTTGCCATGCAATAGCATAGCAACGCTGGTGGCTCTGCCTACGGATTGACAGGCGAAGCTCTCTCAAAACACTTAATGCTTTTTACCATGCGGTTCGGTTGGCATTCTGGGTTATAGTAGTACGTTTTCTGTGATTCAAGTTAGCAAAGTTATTTAAATCCACAAATCAGTTTTCATTATAAAAATTTAAATTGTTAAGTGATAATACATTTTATACTTATGAGCAAACATTCCTCAAAAGTAAATAATTATCATGGAATATTATCTATGTATCAATAATAAGGTTACTACAGGATTTAAATAGATTGATCACAGTAAAATGTGTGACAACATTATCAATGCTTGTTTGACATGTCTCTCTCTTGTCACAAGAGGAAAGACAGACAAACATGGATCTATGGGTTTTTTGCTCAAGTTCCTCAGTCTTTTACAGTTAGTTGTGTTGCAACAATTTACTGTAATCAATCTTTAAGTCTGCCTTTTCACTAGGCTGCAGACACTAGTCAGCCACTAGATCTGTGCAAAAACACATTGTGAAGCACTTTACGTTTACACTATCAGGTCGCAGCGACCCACCTCGGCTATTTAATTTTAATCATATAATTAATTGAACCTTATTTTAATGATACATTTACATTAGTACTTAGGCCTACATGCTGTATGCGCCAAAATTCTTGGAAACAGTGAACCATAGAAAAGTATTTTTATCATAAATGCTGATCCCATTATCATCCCACTTTGAAATTTTTATAGTGTAGCCTACTTACTAGATTACATTCTTTAACATGGCTATTTAATTTTCAATTTTTTCAAAAAACACTATCTTAAATTTTTTTTCAAAGACATATTTTGAAATTAAAAAAAAAAATAATTTTTACCAAAGTAAGTTGAGTTTGGTATCAGATTAAAGGCATTTGAATCCTCTTTAAAATGAGCCAATTGTACATTTTGATAGTGACCAATAGAACTCATCCTAGACAATATTTTAGATTTGCGCGAACGGTAAAAAACGCCAATTTTTACTATTTTGAAATATTTATATCGTAACAACTATAAAAGATAGATTTTTTTTTAAACATATTTGGATTCAGGACTCAAAATACTAATAGTAGGTATTCAAAATTTCATCAAAATCTAAGATGGTCAGGTTGAGAGCCTAGTTGATTTGATATGGAATGACCCAGTTACCCTAGCCTACAATCAATCAATTTAAATGTGAATTAGGAAGATTAACTTAGGTTTTAGTGTGTACTGTAAAGGAAACGTAAAGGAAAACCAAAATCACTCATCGATATTAATCGAAAAAAAAGTCATCGATTATAATGATTTTTCCCTTTAACGAAAGTAAGTTAAGTTAGGCCTACCTACCCATCTTTCTGCGGAGACCAAAACTACCTACGTACTCTTCAAACCACAATCATTTTCGGTAGACTTCCATATCTGTTAGTACTAAACAACCGAATGAAAATATCAATTATTCGATTGTTTCATTTGATATTTCATTTCGTAAGTTAGGTTAATCTTACCTAACTAACCAAACGATATATCGAATAATCGATACCGTATATCGATCGATATTTTAGTTTATTCATCCCTACTGAATTGCAGATCAATGTTTCTAAATATATTTAAAAAAATGATGGGAAGACGTATCTGTTGGCACAAACAACCGAATGAAAATATTTATCGATATAGCCTACTGTATCGATTATTAAATATATCGTTTGGTTAGTTAGGTAAGGTTAACCAACTAACCAAACAAAATATTGAATGAAACAATCAAATAATTGATATATTCATTTGGTTGTTTGTGCCAACAGATACAGAAGTCTACCCAAAACCTGTTTTAATGGTTTAGGGTTTATAAAGTTTATGTGTTTACGTGGTAAAACATACAGATTTGTAAATAGTGTCTTAACTTAGTTGATGTTTTTTTTTTTTTTTTGTGATTGGCTTACTTGAAAAATACTGAATTTTTAACCCTTAGAGTGCCAGGCGAGAAATAAAAGTAACGCTCAAAAAATGCCGATGATTTTTCCCGAAGGTCGCGCTAAAAATGCCGAGCGCGATCTGGCGATTTTTAGGTTAAAATTTCGTAAAAATCGAATTTTCGATATTTCGACCAACGAAAATCGATGTATCGCATCTAGCAACTTTCGACTCAATGTTAATATATGGGTTAAAAGAATCCGAGTATTTATTCGGTTGTTATGACAGCTGTTCGATCATTACGAAACGTCCGGTCAACCGGACGTTGGCACTTTTGGCTCGTTCTAAAAACGTCCGGTCGGCCGGACGTTGGCACTTTTGGCTCGTTTTAAAAACGTCCGGTTCCCCGGACGTTGGCACTCAAAGGGTTAATATTAGCTTTTATAAAAAAAAGCAATGAATTAGTTGGAATGAAAATCATACAAGTTAACAAAATATAGGCCTACATATCATCCATACGCTGGTTTCCTTGATTAATCGTGGATTTCATGATGTGTTTGAAATGCCGCTACGTAAGTTAGCAAATAAATCGATCTTGTCGAGATCAACAAAGACGACTAGGAAGCACAAAAAGTTTAGCCAAAACTTGAAGGCTTAAACTTCGTCTTTGATCACCTTCCAATTGATTCTACAAATTATTAACGTGTAACACGTGGGTTATGGTTTAAACACTTGAATCCATGCAAATGTGAATGTTAATAGGCCTACATATAACTTTTGAAACTATCGGTAATATATTTTGTGGTTTCACTTATATCCTCAGAAAGCCATCTTAGGCAATTATTAGTACCGTAGCCAAAATGTAGAGGGTCGATTTCTAGGTTATAACTAGCTAGAACTGTACCACCCTGTTTTAGAATAAGTTAATGACTAACCCTGAGGGTTTAAAATTAATATGGAAATGCAGGTCTCTGAAAATGCCTAAATTTACATCTCTATGCGTTTCTTATCCCCCCCCCTTTATTACGAAACAACGTGTCGCTAATCTAATTACACCAATAACTTATTTATCTTTACCTAAGTTACACAAATGTTCTCTTCACTTAAAATTGTAGATACCGGTAAACAAAAATATGAAGCTCGATGGTCAAAGTCAATAACAATAGGCCTATACATGGAACCCTGACGACTCCGCTCAATTTTGTGGATGCCTTTGCGAACGCCACCTAACTTAGTATATTTTTTGTTCATTTTGCGTGGGTGCCGTGACCTTGACAGATTGTCTGTTCATAAGTTAACATGCCTGTCTCAGAAGCCCAGCATTAGTGTATTTTAAAGCAGGGTCTCACAGGCCCAGGGTTTCGGTTTGTGCGTTTCTAAGCGGGATCCATTATTTTCAAATGGGATCTCACAGACCGGGGGTTTCAGTTAGCATCAGCCTGGGTCTAGGGTTTCGGTATTAGTGTTAAGAACAGTTTCATGAGCAGTAGTTTGATGGGTAGTATAATAGTAAATGAAGGACAGAAACTAAAGTGCAACCACTTACAGCAAGTTTGGTTAGCTATGTTAGGTTAACTTAGTTTAGAACAGCTTCATTTCAATATATTTTTTGTGGCCAAATATATTTATCATCTCCGTTTGTTATTATATTTCGCCCCAAAAACTTATAAAAGAAATATTTTCCTAACATTAATATATAACTTATTTCTATGTAGGGAATTAGATTGTCTTCAAAATGTATTGACCTAGCCTATATAATGAATTTCCCATAAAATTTCCCATTGGAACTCGTGCTGGTATTTAGCACTTAAACAAGCTAGTTTTTAGTTACAAGCTTAGGGAAATCCAAAGATAAAAGTCACCTACACTCATTAATCTTTTGGTTAGAGTTAATGAAAAGTTATCTCATCACTATGGAGGTTAGGAAATGATTCCAAACTTCCAAAACAATGTGGTTTTCATAACAAAGTTTTGTTATAACTAATTAAATTTACATGTACATTTTCTAACTATAAATTAGAAGATACTAGTCTAATTTACCTTTTCAGAGTCACATAAATATTCACAGTAGGCCTAGATATATTATTGGGAAAATAAGAAATGAACAGTGGTTGGCTCTAAATTGAACCCATGACTTTTTGAACGCCAAGGCAAAACGTGGAAACAAATCCTTCTTTAAACCTTTAATAAGTATTGTGCACATCAATATTTTTAATGATTATAAATAAACCACTCATATTAAAGTGTAATGTAAATATAGGCCTATTCCTAGCGTAGCGATAACGATTAGGCAATGAATGAATGATTGTATGTAAATACTTATAAATGACAGACAAATCACAAATCCCGTTCCTTCACTCGACTCCACTCCAAACCATATTTTTATTTTGCATTAGTGTTCGGTATCGAACATCGATGTTTTCAAAACATCGATGTTTGGAGGTCGATGTTCGATGTTTTTACCATCGATGTAAGAAAGTCGATGTTTTACTACCATCGATGTTTTGGTATCGATGTTTTTTTTTTTGCTGAAGCTGTTTGTCAAAAGATCGTAAAATAAATACATAGATAAAATAAGTACAAAAGATAAAACATGTTTTATCTATTATAAATATATCGATGTTCGTAGCAGAGGAGATGGACAAATTGGAACGGAACAGAGTGGACTGGACTGATTTGGCGTGACAATCCTATCTGCGAGCGGGGAACGGAGCGAGTTAGGAGGAACGGAGGTTTAGTTTTCCCTCGAATTCCGTCATATCGGCATTTTTTAATGAATAACGGAATACTGAGATTATAAAATTCAAAAATTCGATATGATTAAGTTGAAAACTTCGATGTTTTTCGCTTAAAAACATCGATGTTTTTCGCTTAAAAACATCGATGTTTTTCGCATGAAAATATCAATGTTTTTGAACCGATGGTTTTGCAGCATCGATGGTGATAGTTCGATGCTGCTATCGATGGTAACATCGATGGTGATCTATCGATGTCCGAACACTATTTTGCATTTGCTATTTTGCTGTAATGCTGTGTGTGTGAAGTTTTTGACCAAAGTTGCCACCCTGGACCTGAGAAAATTCCCCATCTAAGAAAAATCCCCATTTTATCCCCAGCTAAAGCAAAAATCCTCCAATAATCCGCCAAGTCATAAAAATCTATAGAAAGTCCCCAATTTTCCTCCATCCATCCTTCTTATTCTACAAAAATCCCATTTAACTACCAAATATCCCGAATTCATACCTATCTATGCCATATAGTGTGTGGGTAAAATTCACTTTCCATGATTATATTATACTATGACATGTACATACATCATGTATTCACTCCATATTAAATGTGCTGACGAAGAAAGATCCCCATTTTATCCCCAGGACCCCCAGCTAAAGCAAAAATCCTCAAATTATCCGTCAAGCCATAAAAATCTAGAGAAAATACTCCTCCTTCATCCAATCGTCAAACTCTACAAAAATCCCCTTTTAATTACCGGTGGTAACATGGTACCAATGATTATAATATATTATTTTAACGTACATACATTTATTCACTCCATATGAAATGTATAGTAAACTGTAACTACTAGAGTACTATATAAAAGTAGGTACAAAGGATTGGGACTGATAACATTTTCAGATTTCCTGCTTAAAATATTTCCCCTCACTTGGTTGTTGTATTGATCACTGACTTTCTACTCCTCATTTTTAGTTTTTAGCGAATTTCCCTATAGGGAAGTAGGTATTACCATAGATTAAAACATACTCCCTTGTGTTGGTTAGTCTATGGTATTACCGTAGGTCTCATGGTAAGACTCATGGCCCGGGACTGATTTACTTTTTCATTTTGATGTCTCCAGAGGCCAAAAACACCATTCGATCAAATTTTTATATATGTAGTTTGTTCGCTACGCTTACTCACCTTTAGGTTGGAGCTTGTTCGCTACGCTCACTCACCTAGGTTGTGTCCGTGAACACGATAACTTGAGTACTGTAATTTTTATCCGATTTTGATGAAATTTGGTTTGAAGGTGTAAGGCGGGATAAACTTGAATGAGTTCGCGATCCAGCATGATCGGACCATGGGAACAGGGTTTTATGGAAGGTTTTATGGGGTAAAAATTGGTTTTTCTCACTTTTGACCCTCAAAACACAAAATTTCCCAATTTTTCTCTAATCTTCTTAAAGAGCTTAAAAAACAAACAATTCAGTATATCAAAGTGTTCTTGTACGGTTATTAGTTACGGAGAAAACTAAAAAAAAATGGTAGGCTAAATTTAAAATTACCATGTTATTCTTATGGAGAATATTGTAAAATGTTGTAGCTTGCTTGTTTAGGGATATCTTTTGATCAAACTTGGCAAATATATTCATTTTATACTAAGCAATAATTATTTTTCCTTGTAGTGTGTTTCCTTGTAGCAGCAAACCTAGGTACTCGTTAAACCTACTGTTATTTAAATAGATCAATTGAAAATCAATTCAGCCAAGTGGAAATTCGCTTAGACGGCAGGTTTGCTGCGGCGGGGGTATTTATAGTCTATATTACAAAATGAGTCATGTTGTATATTCCCACTAAATGTCTGAACAATTGATAACTAACTGTTTGCATAATCTATTCTGCCATTCCACGGGTTTATTTGTCTGAAATCTTTTTTTCCTGACTCTAAATCACAATTCCCCAATAAATTCAATAACATCCCAATAATCCGCCAAAAATCCTCCACCCACTAAGCTATAATTCTAACTGGAGGTAGCACTGAATGTCAAAGATGCGTGTCGCCAACCGCCATGTTTGCGTGAGGTGTGAGTTATAAAGAAGCCATGTTATTGGTTTAAAAAACTCAGTGCTATACCAACCTAGTTGTAGAAGCCATGTTATTGCTATGATAAGAAAACTCGCTGCTATACCAACCTAACAAAATCAGCGACACGCTTTCGACAGACTTCTGCCATGGCAGTGCTACCTCCATTATAATTTTAGCTCAGTGCCTCCACCAGACACAATCCGCCAAAAAATCCCCAAGGCTTAGAAAAATCCCCAATTTGGCGAAAAATCCCCAAAAACGGAAACACTGTTTTTGACAAAAGTGCTGGTTGTTTGGTTTGCAGTGGATTATTTTATATGTTTTATTTTTTCAGGAAAAGACTGAAATACCAGGTGGCGTTCGCAAAGGCATCCACAAAATTGAGCGGAGTCATCAAGGGTTCATATTATATTGTTAGCGAATTTCCCATATAGGGAATAAGCTATTACGGTAGGTCTCATGGTAAGACCTAGACCCGGGACCGATTTACTTTTTCGTTTTGAGGTCCCCAGAGGCCAAAAACACCATCCGTTCAAATTCATATTCATATATATATGTGTCGGTTAGCGCGATAACTCGAGCAAAATTGATCCGATTTTGATGAAATTTGGTACAAACGTGTAAACCTATATTTATTCAAACGAGTTCGCGAACCAGCATAATCGGACCATGGGATCAGGGGTTTATGGGGGGTTTTATGGGGTAAAAATGGATTTTTCTCATTTTTGACCCTAAAAACTTTAAATTTCTAAATTTCTCTCTAGACCATTTTGAAGAGCTTAAAAAAATAATTTAGTATATTGAAGTGTTTTTGAATGTTCATTGACTACGGAGAAAATTAAAAAAAATTGTAAATTTAAAATTCCCATGTTATTCTTATAGAGAATAAATAAACTGTTCTAGTTTGCTTGTTTATGGATATATTTTAATCAAATTTGGCAATTTGGTTTATTTCATACTAAGCTATCAATATTTCAATTGAAAAAACACACCTCAACATCTTCCCAGTAGCAGCAAACCTAACTACTCACTAAAATTAATGTTATTTAAATAGGAAATAAATCTGAAAATTTATAGGGAATATTTTAGTATAAATCAAGTCGGGTAAATGGAATTTTGCTTAGTATGCAGGTTTGCTGCGACGGGGGTATTTTTGTCATACTGCAGTAAAAACAGTCGTTTTTAATGCATGCGTTGCGGGTCTAAAGTACCATTTTTACTCTTTAGGGAGTAAAAATCGTTTTTAGCCTCTATGGAGTAAAAATCAGATGTTAACAACTCATTTGTAAATTTCTATTGTAAACGATTGCATGTATCGAAATATATATCGATTCGTGCTTCGTAATCATTTTAACCTACAGTCTACAGTCTCTTACCATAGCATTTTAGCATTGCAGATACATTAATCCATTCCCACACTCAACACTGCACCCCTTTACTACTTCCTTCACCACCCCCTACGCCGTGGACCTGTCTCCCTCTCTTCCCAGAGCATTTTAGGATTGCAGATACATTAATGTAATTGCCAAAGACGGTTCTCACACTATGCTCATACTTTACTAAGTCACTTCCTACATCGTGGACCTGTTTTCATCACTTTCCATAGCATTTTAGGATTGTAGATACCTTAATCTAATCGTCATAAACAGTTTCCACACTCCGGACAGCTCGCCTTGACTACGACCTTCACCACTTCCTACGTCACGGACCTATTTCCCTCCCTTCCCATAGCATCATAGGATTGCAAATACCTTAATCTAATGGTCGTAAACAGATCCAATACCCCGAACAGCTCGCCTTTACTACTTCCTTCACCACTTCCTACGCCACGGACCTGTTTCCTTCCCTTCCAATAGCATTTTAGGATTGCAGATACCTTAATCTAATCGTCATAAACAGTTTTCACACTCCGGACAGCTCGCCCTAACTACTTCCGCCACCACTTCCTACGTCCGGGACCTGTTTTCCTCCCTTCCCATAGCATTTTAGGGTTGCAAATACCTTAATCTAAGCGTCACAAACAGTTCCCACAGTCCGGACTGCTTGCCTTGAATACTTCCTTCACCACTTCTTACGTCACGGACCTATTTCCCTCCCTTCCCATAGCATCATAGGATTGCAAATACCTTAATCTAATGGTCGTTAACAGATCCAATACCCCGAAAAGCTCGCCTTTACTACTTCCTTTACCACTTCCTACGCCACGGACCTGTTTCCTTCCCTTCCAATAGCATTTTAGGATTGCAGATACCTTAATCTAATCGTCATAAACAGTTCCCATACTCCGGACAGCTCGCCTTGACTACTTCCTCCATGACTTCCTACGTCGCGGACCAGTTTTCCTCCCTTCCCATAGCATTTTAGGATTTTAGATACCTTAATCTAATCGTCATAAACAGTTTTCACAGTCCGGAATGCTTGCCTTTACTATTTCCTTCACCACTTCCTACGTCACGGACCTATTTCCCTCCCTTCCCATAGCATCATAGGATTGCAA